TTAGGTGTGAAAAAGTATTTGTTGTTAACATTATTTTTTCATTCGGTTTTTCCAGTTACGAGTACTTTTTTTAAATCTGATCGTTTTGTGTTCATTTTATTTAGTTCATTTTTCCTAACAGATTTAATGTTTAGTATTTAATGTTTAGTATAGAGCTTAGAGAAAATTCGCAGTGTGAAATAGGCAAGTATTAAGGCATGTAGCAACATCAGCATGGCAAAGGGCACTCTTTTAAAGGCAAGGAAGGGCAAAATATTTAAGTCAAGTGATAGCGATTGCTGTATGAGTCGTAAGATTTTTGAATCAAGCACGAGCAACGCCGGGACATGCTGCTAGTAGATTCATTAAAAAAAAAAAAAAAAACTCGGATAATTCCAGTAACATATCTTTCATAATTTCTAAGTTACAACGCTTCAAAAGTTAATCTAACAAATCGACAATCTTACTTTTTAGGTGATTTGGACAATTTTGCTGTTACACACGTATATTCAAGCCAGACGTTTTGCAAAAAACAGTTTCTGACTAATATATATTTTAATAACTTTTTTTTTTCTCGTTTGGGAATTAGTTTCTGTTTCTTTCTGTTCTAGGTGTAACTGAACTATCCACACTTTCTGTTAATTCTTGCCGATTGACTTCTGTCATTGTCAAGATAGAAAAAGGGTAATTCAGAGTGGTTTTATATTTTGAGATTTTTCTGGTTTGTTTCATCAAGTGGGCGTGATGTTATTTTACGACTTCTGAAAATCAGTAGTGTCGCATGTGGATTTTGAAAATTTAAATACGTTTAGAATCAGGCAACAAAAAAAATGTCTGTTGCCTTTAACAGAATTCTTCGAATTAACATTACTGTCTAGTTACATGCAATTTTAGTATAGCTCAGTCGTATAATAATCGCTCTCGACTCACTGAACATGGCAATTTCAATGAATCTTATGAGAAAATTTTATTTAAAAAGAAATTAAAACAATATTTTCCAGATTAAAATTTTGATCACGAATGTTTCGGTGGCAGACAAGTTCACTGAGTGTGTTGTTCAATTTTAATTTTATATTCTTTATTAAATCTTGCTATGTTTTGCAGATCATTTTTTTTTGGTGGGGGTGTTTTGACATTCTGCTTCTGACGTAAAAATTAACTCTCTGTTTTACATAGATTAAATGTTCAAAAAGTTGTTATGGTAATTATGATTTTTATATTGTTATTATATAAGTTTCTTCTAAGTTCATTAATTATTGAGTTTGTTGGTAATCTAACAAGCCTACGTTTTATGTTGTTGGTTATATCTATCTATCTATCTATCTATATATATATATATATATATATATATATATATATATATATATAATGTGTGTGTGCGTGCGTCCGTGAAAATATATAGAAAATAGGAAAGAACTCGTTAGGTAAATAATCCAAAGTTCTTTAGTATTTTTGTTATTATTTAAAAAAAAAAAACAATGCTCGATGCAAAAGTAGAGCCTATATATAATTATTTATTCAAAAATATGATTCCATCGCGATATATATATATATATATATATATATATATATATATATATATATATATATATATATTTGTCTATTTGGTTTTGTGGATCATGTACGCTTTGCTTCTGTTATACAGTTTAACCCGGATATAAGAGAAACCCGGATATAAGAGAGATTTTCTCTGGTCCCAAATTAGAGCCTGTGTTAATGTATACCCGGATATAAGAGAAACCCGGATATAAGAGACTTCTTCTCCGGTCCCGACATCTCTCTTATATCCGGGTTACACTGTAATATTTGGAAGAGCTTGGATTTTAGTGAATTTTAAAAATATTTTCGATGGACTAGTCTTTATCGGACAAATACTCAGCGGTGCGAATTCTCAAAACTTTTGACTAAAACCTCATAATTATTCTAAATTTTATTTTATTGTTTTGATGTAACTGAAGATTTATAAATCGAAAAAAGGTAAGATAAAATTAGGAGTTACCCGGTTATCACACTTCACTGTTCAAAACTCGATCACGTAATGTAAAATACTTCTCATGCAGCAAATGTTCTTTAAGGTAAATATTATCAAATTTTTGATGTTTTGTATCGGTTTTTATATTTTTATTTTAAATTTCTGATAATTTGTATCGATTTTTAACTTATGAACTATTCAAAATTATGAATAATCCTTCTGAGGTAAGGAGGAAATACCTGTCGGAAATTGCCCCAAGTTAATCTCGGAATTAAAGTGCAAGATATGGTCCAAGCTTACGACGTTCTTTTCATCATGAGGGTAGATAGAGATAAATGGTGAGTTTCCTAAATTCTGTGTATGAATATACTTGCCTGTATCCTGTACGGTTCCGTATAGGATACATGTTTGAATCCTGTCGGAACACGAATATTTTCTGTGAAAATTTTTCGGACATTCAGGCCGGTAAATGTTGTTTAATACTGTTTATTATAAACAGAACATTTACTTAAATGTTTGTATTTATAAAAAAAGAATGTATAAACATAAAAATGTCTTAAAATAATTGTCGGACTTTGTCCACACAAACACATTATATATATATATATATATATATATATAAAGAAATATAATTTTAAGGTGTGCTATATTTATGAAAGAAAGTGCTCAATATCAGAGTTACAGCGTATGTAAATAAAAAATGAACATTGAAGTCAACACACACCCATATATATATATATATATATATCAAATACGTGGTGCAGTTCAATTTATATTACAATGAATCATTCATTCAAAGAGTAAAAATTTCATTACTAATCATGCATGATTTTTTAAGTAATATACATATTTATGCCTTTGTTGTTTCCGTTCCTTATATTATGACCGCTACTATATATATATATATATATATATATATATATATATATATATATATATATATATGAAATTTACTCCTTAGTGAATGTAAAGAAATCAACTGGAATTCGAACTCGTCTCTGTGATTTCTCATTTCCATACCGCTATCATTTGCGCCAACGGCACATCGATTGTTCCGGTGGTGCGATGAAGCCCAAAATTCCAAATGTTAATTTTTAAAGCTGTATACAGCGAAGAGCCCTGACAATTTGCAAAACACAATCAACCTCTCTTTCCTTATTCAATGCTAATCCAGACTAATCTCGTCCTGGGTATGAAGATAAACTACATCCGCGTCCAGGGTAAGACGATATACTTTGTCCAACAGTAAGGCCTCTGATCACGAGGCTTTGAGGAGCGTGGAACCACCTCTTAATTGCTGGTCTTCCCAGGTTCACTCTGACCAGGGGTAGTAGCACCTCTTAAGGTCTCAGCTATGGGCAAATACTTAACCACGAAACTGAGGTAAAAAGCATTATGAAAGTGTAAAAATAGGTTTTAATACCAGAAATACTTCGTAAAAAAATTACCAGCAGAAGAAAAAACAACTATTACCAGCAATACGTTTTTGAAAAAAAAAATATTACCAGCAATACATTTAAAACAAAAAAAAATATTACCAGCAATACGTTTTTCAAACTAATATTACCAGCTATACAATTTTGAGGAAAAAATATTACCAGAAATAGATTTTTGACAAAACAAAAATATTACCAGGAAAAAAAAGTTGTTGGCATGAAATGACCCATTGTGGTTGATATGCCGTAAAACAAACCAAACCAAACCAGACTAAGCACTTTTTAATATCTGCGTGTTTATATCAAATATTTTATATTTTTTAGTTGAACGAACGCATATCCCATTCTCTGGATTTAAAGGATAAATTATCCGACCTTATTTTCTGCTACTCCAAAAGTTATTCTGTTGATATACATCTTTGAGTAGACACTCTCTGTTTTTTTTTTTTTTTTTTTTTTCTTTAAAATTTTTTTTTAAGTCAAAAACTTAATAAAGACCACATGCGCTCCAGTAAGTTTCGAAACATTGCCCGCATTTGTAGGAGAGACGCAGGTTCGAACCATACCGGAAAACACATTTTCTTTATTAATACTGTGCAGGAATGGAGACGCAATTCATATATATATATATATATATGTAAAATTAACGAGCCTCTACTTGAACATGGGTGTCCAAACAGTTGTACAATATTCTGTTCTATTTTAACGCATGCCTTTATTTGTTCCTCTGCGAATTCAAGGACTAAATTGACTTGTTCATAATTTATATTCGTTTGGACCACAGTGTGAAGATACTTGGGAAAGGTTTCATGTACATTCTATATTACAAGAAGTGCGTAGCCTTGAGTCACTATTGTTTACTCTCGTGGTTCAAGTGGCGCACTTGACTCCATCTACAGCCTGTATCGGCTCCTAAACTCTAACGGAATATTTAAAGAAACCATGAGTCACTAAATACATTTGAACAAGGGAAACTCGATTTGCTCATGCCGATATTATTCGTGAAATTTGTTTCAATATTGTAGCAAAATGTGCCGGCGGGGGCAATTCGTGGTGTAACAATTCTTCTTAGTCGATTACAGTGCATAACTGATAAGGAATGCTCTTCGTAAACAAAGGGATGTAATCACGTAGAAACATATTCAGAGGGAATAATGTCCACAAGAACTTTAACTATAACAAAATCGTGATGATGGTTTTATATAAACTGCTTATACTGTTAACGTATACCAGTGTACGAATGAACATGTTTCAGGAAAATGGTAGAAGGAAATTATTTCTTTTATAAAATATAGAGAACTGAAAGTAATGTAAAATTACTTATGATTTAAATAGACCTTGTTTCATAATCAGAATGAGTGGGTCTTCTGTTAAGAATAATCATTAGAATAATATTTCTTAGAATAATATGTATATATACTTGCCTAATGCCTCTCAATTGCAACTCCCTGCATCCTAGTGGCTTCACGCCTTGCTTGGGGCGTATGTCTTACTGTTCTATCTTTTTATTTTTTCACACACACACACACATACACACACACACACACACACACACACACACAGAGCTATTATTCATTACACCACCGGCACATCCAAGCTTATATCAATCCAAGCTTACAGCTCTCATTATTCCTAAGTAGTTAACCATCTAGGTACTGACTAGACTCGACGTTGGTTAACTTCGGTGATCGTACGGGAACCGGGGTTTCAACGTGATGTGGCCGTAAGCTACTCAAGGGGAGGAGACAATAAAAGAATAACAATTGGGAGGACAGAAGATAACGGTTTGTATTGCATTTAAAGTTTGGAAGATCAAAGCTGATTGGGAAGCAAGAAGTCAGAATTGAGTTCCACAAGCGAGAAGTGCGATAAAATAAATTCTTAGCATCGCACCTATGGTTACATCTAGCCATTTCAACTGTATAATGATGATACCTTTCCGCCAAACTAGTAATGCGATTGAATTGATAAAATATGGGTACCATAGAGGAAAATTCACCAAAACAATTACCATGAAAGTATTTACAGAGAATACACGGTAAGGTGGTGGGAATGGTGCCAGGTCTTAACCAATAATATTGGAAATTCCTTTAATTGTACCCAGAATCTCTAAATAGACCAGATGTGGAAGCAATATCCAAAGCTAGAACATATGGTAGATTTTTACGTAAAATCCTTTATCAGCAAAGATAGTTCGTATCACGTGATATGGACAGAGAGAGATATAGGGAGAGAGAGACAGACAGACAGAGAAAAGAAGAGAAGGTTTCAAGAACAGGAGATTAGATAGAACAAGAGAGAAAAAATAGAAAAAGGGGAGGAAAATCGATAGAGAGAGCGAGAGAAAGAGAGAGAGAGAGAGATGGGGAGAGACAGACAGACAGAGAAAAAGAGAGAATGTTTCGAGAACAGCAGATAAAACGGAACAAGACAGAAAAAATGGGTGAAAAAAGGGGAAGAGAAAATCGATAAAGAGAGAGAGATATAGTGAGAGATAGATAGATAGGGAAAAAGAGTGAATGTTTCAAGAACAGGCGATAAGACGGAACAAGACAGAAAAAAGGGTTGTAAAAGGGGAAGAAAAATCGATGAATATATATATATATATATATATATATATATATATATATATATATATATATATATATATATTGAGAGAGAGTGAGACCTCCACCTTTCTTTGCAGTCAGCATTCGTCCTGATTAGTTCTTTGTTGGGTAGAAAGCGAACCAGTGTAATAGAGGAATAACATCAAAGCACTCTTTTTCTTGTCTTTATATTGAGGTTGGTAAATGGTCGGTGTGCGGTGAGTGATTATGGGATTGACCTTCGATTCTGTGCTGGGGTTTAATCTTTTCAGAAACGATGTTAGCTGATTGATCTGTCCTTAAGAATACCGGTGTTATGATTAACGAGGTGCTAATGAGATGATAAGTAAATGATATTATTTAAGACATCATAATTTTATTTATGAAGCTTTCCTTACTACAGCAGTTTTTCCTTGCCGTTTTCGGTTGACAGATATATTCCTACGATCAGATCACCGTCAAATCTTGCCAGTGCGTAAATATGTCACCAATTGAGAGTATTTATGGATGTGAGGGTGGGGTAATGGATAACGAGCCGGAACTTTCAATTCCAGTTGGTTTCGTTATATTCATGTACGTTCTAATACCCTGGGGAAAGGTGTGGATGTACCTCTTCTGTCCCAGCTATGGGTTAATTATTAGGACTTGTGTCATACCAGCAAATCATTATTATCCTCAACAATTTTTAAAAGCTTAATTATTTTCTGGCTTTCAGTAACCTGTAAAAAGTTGGTAACCCGTAGAAAATAAAACAATCTTCTGTTTTTTTTATGTCTTGCATTGCTTAAATGCTATGGTATTTAGAAGGTAGGCGATAATGGATCTCCATACATTACAGTTATATCATGATTGATTAAATGATTAAATTTGTATTTGTTTTTTCGTCTTTTCAAGCCTTTATCTGTAATCTGAATTTTCGATTGTAATGATAACTCATTTATTTTTCTTGTGAATATTGCATTAATTTTGGGTGTGAGAATAACAAAGATTTTTCTAAATAAGATCTATTATTCAACATATAAACTGCGTCTAGAGATTATATGCAAAAGAGGTGTTGTCAAATATTTCATGTAAAATTCTTAGATATGTGTTATCCAATGAAATAATTTGTACTATTATGTATAACGAGTAAGCATGAAAGCAATTAAGTCCCAATTTTCAATTTCAGATTGATATTTAGTATTTTCTCAGTAATTATAACAATTTGCAGTGCCAAGAGATTATTTGCAAGAACTAGAATTTATGAATGAATGAAAAGAACTATATAATCAAAGAAATTAGCAAAGGAAAGTCTCCGCTTCAAATTTCTAAGGATTTGAAAAGGGATCATAGAACAATCAAGAAAATATGTCAAATGGGAATTCAACCAAAGAAAAAAAAAGTCTCAGGCTGAATTCAGTAATTTAGCAAAGCGATGTCTATCACATATCCGAAGAGAATTAATAAGAAACCCAAATGCGTCAAGTGCATTCATATTTGAGGACACTGGAGCTCCTATGGTGTCAAGGGAAACAAGGTGTAAAGCATTAAGGAAGTTTGCTGATGTAAAAAATCAAATAAAGAAACCCATTTTAACAAAAAAAAAACATAAGGAAAGAAGATTGCAGTGGGCAAAAAAATACATGAAAACTGATTTCAGTAAAGTGCTTTTTACAGACGAATCAAGGAACACCCTCGATGGCTCGAGGATAGGTTTGCAAGAGACAAGACTCAAGAAAATTTTTTAAACGCCAACAAGGCGGCGGGATCATGATATGGGCTGGGATTATTGGTAATGTGCTCCTGGGTCCATTTAAACTGAAAGACGGGGTTAAAATGAATTCCAAAAGTTACTGTGATTTTCTAGAGCAATATTTCTTTGAATGGCTTGAAAACCAGTCTTTAGCCAAGCGTAGATCTATGATCTTTATGCAAAACAACGCACCAAGTCCTGCATCAAAGTTTACTAAATCCTGGTTGAAAGAAAAGGGATTTGTTGAAGATTCTCTTATGGACTGGCCTTCAAATAGCTGTGACTTGAATCCCATTGAGAACCCGTGGAGCATCCACAAGAGAGATATTTATTCTAATGGAAGGCAATTCAACAGCAAGTGTGACCTCTGTGAGCCAGTTAAAGTTGCTGCAAACAACTTACCAGGCGCTAAAATTGCAAATCTAACATCAGATGTTGACAATAGGCTGCTATTGAAAAGAAAGGAGCATTTGTGCAATAAGTTTTAGGAGGTTCTTATTATTTTTGTTAATGTATCTTTTATTTTTAAAATAAATCTTTTTTTAATGTTTTTCCTTTAAGAAATTGACGAATTTCTTCTAAAATCTTTTCACATTATTTTGTTTACATTAGTTTCATAAGGTATAATAATGTAAAAGTATCAAAATAAATAGTTGCAAATAAACTACTGAGAGTCAAATTAGTCTGTTTTGTTAGTAAAATTTTTTCCAACAAAAACAATAGTTTTCTCTATCACTATATATCTGAGTTAATAATATTGAGTAGAATCTAAACAACATCATAATAGGACTTTTAACATTAAAGACGCAACTTTTTATACCAATTCATAACTTGCATTTAATCTCTAGACGCAGTTTAGCTAGGCTGAAGAAACAGACTCATAACTTTCTTAACGTTATTTCAACGTAAGTGAATATAACGAACCAGACTGGAATTGGAACTCGGCTCTCCGATTTCTAATTCACAGCCTTTTTTTTTCTCATATTTGGGTTTTCCCAAGCGCTAAAATATGCAAGAAACGCCAAAAAACACATTTCTTTTATTTGGAAGCATTGGGGGTTATTCCAGATAAAGTGAATAATATTGTCACAGGATATAATTAGAATTGTTTTGACGATTCTATATATATTCATTCAATGTTTGAAATAGTGCATACCTAGCCTTAAGCCACTATTATTTCCCTTCGTGATACAAGTGACGCACGTCTCAAACTGGGAATATACAAAAGAGACACAAGTCACGAAAACCATACGAACGCAGCAGGCTGGTACAAAGAATTCGATAGATTAATTTCAATGGGGAAACTCAACATTCATGATAACATTCACTGTTTTGGAAAAAGGAACAATTTACAGTTATATATCTGGAGTCCCTGTATTTGTCGCAAAGATTTAGGAGATTTAGCTCCCTAGTTTTTTTGTCGACCACTAGTAAAAACGATCTTTATTTTATTGCTGGATAATCCTCCTTTCCTAGGGCCAAAACTATTCGCGATCTTGCTGCTAGCAGTTCTGCTCCTTAGAAAATTCTTTAAGGAATCCAGTTCCACAGGTATTGCTATGACAGGAAATATCGAAACACAACTCACCTTACTGTCCCACTCATGTACATTTTAACACACTTTCATAAAAGATATTGACAGTGACAGTATTTATAAGGAAATGTCTAACGATGATAAGAGTTAGAAAGGACATTAGCTGCATTGATATCAGTTTCGAAAATTTAACCTCGAATTCATATTTGTATCCTGTGAAACGATTGGTTACAATTTTCAATAAGGAATGTATCCACATCTTCTTATATTTATCATTTTTTCATCGATTGGTTACAAATTACAATAGGGAATAAATCCTCCTTTCTCTCATATTTATCATCTGTTAATTGATTGGTTACAAATTACAATATAGGATAAATCCCCCTTCCTCTTATATTTATTGCGTTTAATAGATTCGTTTCGAGTTGCAATATTTAATGAATATTTCTCTCTCCTGTATTTATCATCTGTTAATCGATTATTTACAAATTGTTATATAAAATGAATCCCCTGTCCTCTTCTGTTAATCGATAGGTTGTAAGTTACAATATCGAATGAATCATCCTTCCTCTTAAATTTATCATCTGTTCAACGATCGGTTACAAAACACAATATCGAATGAATCATCCTTTCTCTTATATTTATCACATGTTAATCGATTCTTTAAAAATAACAATATTCAGTGAATGCTCTTCCTCTTATATTTATTATCAGTTAATCGATTGATTACAAATTAAAATATCAAATGACACCTCATCCTCTTATGTTTATCATGGTTAATCGATTTGTCACAAATTACAATACAGAATAAATCATCCTTCCTCGTATATTTCGTATCTGTGAATCGATTGGTTAAGAATTAAAATATCGTGT